TCCAGAATCTCTTATATAGATCCCCCTCCGAGTGGTTGGCAGTGGTAGCCGGGCACCATCTAGTTCTGGTCTCATGGTCATATACGCTGATGATCACATGGTGTACTAGTCCCTTGGAATAATTGTTTCCATGCGTCTTTGGTTTCCTTCATTCTTCTTTGCTCCGGATGAGAAGAGACCCATTGTTGCATCTAGATGGCCGCTTGCAGACTTAAGATCCCAGTCACTACTTGCCAAAGTAGGATGTGGAACAGTGTTTTTGTATAGTATGTTATGCCAGTGAGCTTGATGGCCCCTGCAACTATGGTCCCAAGCCCATGGGTCCAGCTGTTCCCTCCCTCTGGGTAGCTGGTGTGACCAAGAAGTAACTACAACCTTGTTCCTTGTCAGCTCTACTATATACCTGGAAATTCTTACAGAACATACAAATACAGTCATAGAAACATTGTCTGCCAGTCATTTACATGGCCATGAGCACACTCCCCCCTGCATAGACATACTTAATCGTTCAGCCTGTCCACCCATCTATGCACCCTTAGATCAGTGTTTGCCTTCAGTGACAACGCAGTACTGTATGTGCAAAAGGGTTCATCTTTGTTGTCAATATCTCCAGTGCACCTCTCTACATCTTCCTCTTCCTCAATGCCACCGTGTGTTGATCACTCACATCAGTACGTTGCCTTTCTCTTCACCCAAATCAATACTTGTCTCTACCTATCTAACAGTGTTCCCTCCCCTCCCCTCCCACCCCTGATAACCAACAAGGAAAATTTCCTTCCATGTATGAACATTTTCTTGACATTTTACAATGGACTAATAGAATATTTGCCCTTTCTTCTGGTAAAATGCAGAAATAGATAAGCAAGCAACACAGAACTCTTCAACAAAGAAAAGAAAAACCAATTGACAGAGATACAGAAGATAATCCTGGAGCCCTGAGCTTTAAAAGGAACTATGCAGAAGTGGATTAGGCACCAACTAGTGGAAGAACCTGAATGAAAACAGTGAGTCCAGAGATGTTCAGAGCTGCAGACTGTCAGCTACCCTGACGGGACCAACAGCCTAAATATTTCCAAGAGGTATTGGGACCTGAGAATTGATGTAAAGATCAGCCCTGGTCACCAAGGGCTGCAGAGATGACTTTGCTGATGGCCTGTGACTAGGAAGGGAAACAGCAAGGAGGGAGACAACCTGAGCTGTTGACTTTCTCCTGTCCAGAGGGCACAGCACTTTTGAGTAGCTACAAGCAGCAGCCATTTTGGATATTTAAAGTGACCGGGGGCGCAGCCATTTTGAATATTTACAAGCAGTGGTCATTTTGGATATTTAAAGTGACCAAGGGTGTACCCATTTTGAATCTTTACAAGTGGCAACCATTTTGGATTTTAAAGTGTATAGCATTCTCATTCGGATTCCAGGGACCTAAGAATAGGCTCTGTTTGCCAGGGTTGGCAAGGACATATGAGAGGCTGACAAGAGGCAAGGAGACAGGTGGTGAGTGTATAAGTGCTCTCAGCTAGCAAATAGAGGAGCACAGTACCCTGCTTGCGTAGATAACATACAAAGAAAATAAGAATCTTGGACAAGTCACTCCAACATACGATCGCCAATTAAATATAAACACAAAAACGTTACAATGCCTCAGAGACAACAGAGCATCACAGTCTACACAAAGAAGCAAGATAAAGCAGGAGAAACAAGGGACCAGGATACAGACCCAAAACACATCCCTGAGGAAGAAGCAGCACTGGAACTCCCTGATAAGGAATTCAAAAGAATTATATTTAGGTATCCTCAATGAATTGAGAGATCAAAGAAAAACAAAACCCTAGAACAATTTTGAAAGACAATACAAAAATGACAAAATAAATAAAAAATTAGAAATGATATAAAATCTACACACAGAAATCCAGAAGATTAATACTAAATTTTCAGAAATAGATAAGACATTGAATAGGCAAAGGAGCAGAATTGTATCAACAGAAGACAGAATTAGGGAGATTGAAGGCAAATACCTGAATACTTCTTTGGAAAGAGATAAATCAGAAAAGAGATCAAAACAAAATGAAGAAAGCCTAAGGTTCACGTGGGATACCATCAAAAGGAATAACCTACGTGTCATCAGAATTCCAGAACAGGAAGAGAAAAATAAAACCACAGAG